CTTAAAATTCGTAGCCAATTTAATTTTTATATTTATATTCATTTATGCTGGGTATATTCATTTAGACAGGTTTGACTGTATGGGCACATTCTTTTAATAACCATTAATTTCAAAAGATGTATTGTTACATTTTTTCAGAAATGACTCTAATGTCCAACTCTTTTCTAACTTTGTTTTCTAAACAGCATTTGTTTGCTACTTCACGCCAACTTTCAAAAACTTCATGTCAGGATTATTTTGTTTATCCTAAAAACCTGCCAGAAGTATCCGACAGTCTTTTTCAATCATGTATAGACATTTTTCAAAATCGTCAATAGTTGATTCAGGCTAATAATTAAAAAAAAAATAGGCTAAAGTTAATTTCAGCCTAGCCGGTCGATTTTTTTTTTCAAATACTTGCTGATTGCATAGTTACTTTACAGAAACCTATGTTTTTTGCTAAATATGTTTAAAATACAAATATTATATATTTACCATATTATTATAATATTATCTCAATAATATCCAAGTTATAATAATATGTTTATAATATAGTTAAAATATAAATTTTAGTTCAATAATTTTAAAAAAATATATTATTAATCTAATACCCCAATCACTATATCAAGATCACAGGGTATTAATTAATAATACCCTAACCTTATGTGAATCAGCGAAAACTTCATTCCACTAATCCCCAACGGATCAGGGTATTATTATTACTAATAACAGCATGGTTTAAATAAAATTTTTTAATATATAAATAATATATCAGTAATATACTAAAAATAATAAAATAATATTACCAATATTTTAGCAAATACAATATTTTATTATATGTTAAAAATACGTTAACAAATAGATTTAAGATGTTTAACAGATTATTGCTTTATTACTAAAAGAAATTTAACAGATATAATTAAAAACAAAGCTTGATTTTACTATATATCAAAAAATAGAGTTAATAGGATAGTTTTAAGATATTTAACAGGTGACAAAAAGATATTTAGCAGGTATAAAACATTGAATGGTCTGTCAACTAATTAAATCAAACTATTATATGTACTGTATTGGAAATTGTACCCAGGAAAAAATTGCTATTAATTTATTTAGATAAACTGAGTAATTTAATAATACTGGGTAGAGATTTTCTCCACAGGTACTAAAATACCTAAAAATTTTCTTGTTTCTCAGAATCTTTTCTGTTTAGTTCAGTAAATTACTCCAGATGATACATTACTATTTCTAAAGTGAAGGTTTGAAAATAGCTATGTAGTTAATGTCAATAATTTTAAATTTTTGCTCAAATGCTTGTCCAATATGATTGGTGTGCTTAGTTTGGATAAAAATTTATAGAAAAACTGTTTATGTCAACCAATAAACCTTAACAAAAAATGTAAAAAGGAATCAAACATAAATTAGACTTTTATAACAAATATATTACTTGAACAAGTACTATATTAAAAAAGTTAAATATGATCATAGATTTTGTCAACTAATATTTTATATTATTCTTGCCTAGTAAACATGTTTACCTGAAAATAATAGAAGATTTTTAATGCATCCATATCTTTGAAAGTGCATGAGAACCCAACTTATAGAAGACTTGCTAACTCCTAAGTATTTGGCAATTTTTTTAACTGATAAGCAATCTAAGTTTTTCTCAACTATTTGCTAACAAAAGTGGTTTGTAAATATTATTTCCAGAGATATTTCAAATTTTTTAAAAATAAATTTTTTATCTTTGACAAGAAATGAAAAATAAGTAGAAATAAATAAATGCTTTAATTTGAATAAAAATAGATCTTGCCAAATAATAAAAATCAAGATTTAATTCATTTTTTAAAAATGAATTTTTTGTTTTCAAAAGGAAATGAAAAATAGTTAGAAATAAACAAAAGCTTCATTTGAACCAAAATAAATCTTGCCAAAGAATAGAAATTGAAATTTTATACAATTTTTTAAAAATTGAAATTTTGGCAAAAATAATTAGAAATTAATAAAGACTTTATTTTGAGCAAAATTAAATCATGCCAAAGAATAAGAATTGAAATTTATAACTTACAAGTGTGTATACAATATTTGGTCTTAATATATGTGGGGTGATTGAAAAGTTTTATACTTAGATCAATATCTCAATCATTTTAAAAGATATTATTTTAAAATTAATATGTATAAATATAGTAGTTATGATTGT